TAAATCCAGCTACACTGAACCTATTAGAAGATAAAGTGGGAAATACCCTAATTAATTGTTAAAGGAGACTGCATCCTGAACATTACACCAGTAACACAAACACTGAGATCAACAATTGATAAATGGGACCTCCTGAAACTCAGAAGCTTCTGTAAGGCACAGGACACAGTCAGCAAGACAAAAAAAATCAAAAACACCAATGACAGTTCATGCTGGAGAGGATGTGGAGAAATTGGAACACTTTTCCACTGCTGGTGGGAGTGCCAACTTGTACAGCCACTTTGGGAATCAGTATGGCAACTCCTCAAGAAAATGGGAATCAGTCTACCACAAGATCCCACAATTCCACTCTTAGGCATATACCCAAAAGAAGCACATTCATACAACAAGGACATCTGTTCAACGATGTTCATAGCAGCACTATTTGTAATAGCCAGAAACTGGAAGTAGCCTAGATGCCCCTCAACTGAAGAATGGATAGAGAAAATGTGGCACATTTATACAATGGAATACTACTCAGCAGAGAAAAAAATGGAATCTTGAAGTTTTCAGGAAAATGTTTGGAACTAGAAAAAAACCATTCTGAGCGAGGTAACCCAGTCACAAAAAGACAAACATGGTATGTAGTCACTCATATGTGGATTTAGACAAAGAATAAAGGAATACCAGCCCTCAATTCACACTGCCAAAGAAGCTAGTAAACAAGGAGGGTCCTAAGAGAGACATACATGGTCCCCTGGAGAAGGGGAAAGGGACAAGATCTCTTGAACAAACTGAGAGCACGGGAAGAGGGGGGGGAGCTAGGAGAATGAGAAAGAAAGAAGAGGAGGGATGCAGAGGACATGAGGGAGTAGAAAGGTTGAGTCAGGGGAAGAATAGAAAATAACAAGAATGGAGATACCATAATAAGACATTTTAGGTTTACCGAGAAATCAGGCACTAGGGAAATGTCTGGAGATCTAGAAAGATGACACCAGCTAACATTCTCAGCAACAGAGGAGAGACTACCTTAAATGCCCTCCCCTGATAATGAGATTGATGACTGACTTATATGCCATCCGATAGACCTCATCCAGTAGCTGGTGGAAGTAGAACCGACACCCACAATTTATCACTGAACTGAACTGGAATCCAGATGCAGAGAAGGACGAGTGAAGAGCAAAGGGGTCAAGACAAAACTGGTGAAATCCACAGAAACAACTGACCTGAACATTGGGGAACTCTTGCTCCCTAGACTGATAGCTGGGATACCAGCATGAGACTGACCCCAGGAACATGGATTTCATTGAAGAAACCTTGGGAATCTACAGGACATATCCCTAGCATAGGTGTGGACTTTGGGAGCCCATTCCACATAGAGGAACATTCCCTGAGCCAAGACACAATATGGTGGGCCTAGGTCCTATCCAAATGATATGATAGACTCTGATGACACCCTAGGGAAGGCTTCACCCTCCCTGAGGAGCAGAAAGGATATGTGATAGGTAGGGTTTTAGTTGGGGGCGGGGGTGGTTGTAGGGGAGGATGGGAGGGAGAAGGGAACTGGAATTGTCATGTAAAACAATATTGTTTCAAATAAAAAAATCTGAAGAAAGTCTTCACAACATTTTTTCCAAAATTATAAAAGGAAAACACTGCCCCAATTTTTTGAAGCTTCTATAATCTTGATACCCAACAAAGAAATTTCTGATGGTCACTGAACTGTGTCTTCCCAAATTCTCATGTTAATATTCCTAATCTCCCATGGGATTGTTCGAGGTTTCAGAAATTTTTTTAGGTACATCAGGAATAAAACTTGCCCCCCAAAAAGGAAAGTTGATAAGTTATTCTTTATCAATATCTAAAACTTTCATGATTGAAAGGACACCATTAACTTTTTGGGAACCATGCTGGATTAGCTTTTCTAGTCATGAAGCAATTGGAGGAGCTCAGTCCTGCCTCAACTGGTTGTAACTATGCTTTGTTCAAGGAGGCTTGCCCCTTTCTGAATAGAAATGAGAAATAGTGGAAGGGAAGGAGAATAGATGGGAAGCAGGGGGTGGGGCAACCAACCAGGAAGAGAGGAGTGTAGGGGAAACTGTGGTTGGTATGCAAAATAAATGAAAGAATTGTTACATAAAATTAAATTAAAAAGGAAGTATAAAAAACTCAAGACAAAACACTTGCAAAATCGCAGCACTGAGCACTGACTCGTATCTAGGATACACAAAGAATTCTTACAACTTAGAAGTAAAATGACATTCTAATTAAAAATGGGAGATAAAGTCTGAATAGATAATTCTGTTACCAAGCTATACAAATTGCTCATAAATACATAAAAACCTACTGGGCATCATTGGCCTTCAGAAATATTCAAGTCAAAAGGCATCCCTAATATAAATGGAAACATGTGCACACAAAACTTATTCTCAAGTTTTTGCTGCTACATTATTGATAGCAGATAAATAAATATAGCTCAAATTCTACTACCGAATGATATCCAGAGTATGGGACACCCATTAAAAGAAATATGTCTTTGATATTACTACAACAAGATACCTTCTTGAACCTTTAAAGTACCATGTAAAAGGAAAAGATCTAGTTACAAAATAGTATAACTACATGACTCCATATATGAGACTCTCACAATGTGTAAATAAGTAGCTAGAAAAAGGATAGTGATTACTGTGTTTGGGTTGGTGGGTGGTGAGTTGGTGGTATGGAAGTATGGTGAGATATTTATTGTTTATGATTCATTAAAGCTTGCCTGGGGATTCAGAAAGCAAAATCTGCTACAGGCCATAGAAACCAGGCATACACCTTTAATCACAGCAGCCAGAAGCTAGGAAGTGGTAGTACACACCTTTAATCCTAGGATTTAGGATTAAGAGATAGGCAGGTCTCTGTGAGTCTAAGGCCACCCAGATCTACACAAGACTGAATAATCAGTCTAAAAGAGAATTACAGCTCACACTTTTAATGCCAACATTAGGGAAGTATATAAGACAGAAACAAGGTCTCAGAGAGGCTTTTCATTCTCCAGACACACTGAAGATAGGAACATTTGTGTTCTCCAGCCCCACCAAGGAGAGGCAGCAGTTTCAGGCTTGGTGAGAGCTCCTGGAGACAGGACTAGCCCATTCAGCCTGAGGAAGAGGTAAGAAGCTAGTGACCAGCTGCTTTGCATTTCTGACATTCAGCTTGAAGCTTGAATCCCAATATCAGTCTCTGGGTCTTTTTTTTTTTTTTCACTACATGAAAGTGACTAGTACAAAGTTGAAAAAGGTGAATGAAAATGATCAGTACATTGTGTTAATAATTACACAAGTCTGTGAGTAAACTAAATGTCACAGTTGAACCTTTACCACTGGATAGGTCATACTACAATAAAACCATTTATTACAGCACTTAGGTGTGTTTTAGTTTTAGTGGCAGACAAACTCAGGCAAGGCAAGTACAAAATAAATCCTTTCTTGCTACCCAGAATTCATTACTCACTGTGAATTTTGATACATACAAGGCATATGATACATAAAAAACTAAGTGAAAAACCACTTCTTAAAAAATCATACAAAGCACTAAGTATGCCAGATCTCCACTGAGCAGCACGAAGTATTTAGTGACTTAAAGAGAACAAGAAAGCAGAGAATAAACAAATCTCACTCAGATATTTATGTTTCCCAAATTGATCAAATTTCCTGCAAAGTTCTTCATGGGGGCTAATGCATGTTTCACCTGAAAGGTACTCATTTCAGTGGTTATAAAGATATGCATTTTATAGCTGGAAGAGCACAGTAAGATAAGGCATACCAGCTTGGATTTGAACTCCTATAACCTGGTTCCATCATTAAAAATATACCCCCCCCCAGATTTTATCCACCTGATTCAAGTGCCAGATATAGCATTTTTCAGCTATGTGGGCTGGAGTAAGTCATTAACTTCTCCCAGAATTAGTTTGTTTGAAGTTTGTGGAAACACAATTTTGTAATTATAAATCTTTCCGCCACAGCAGCCTAAGTTCTGCCCACCTCGTAAGGGCCCCAAATAACACACAGAGTCTTATATTAGTTTACAATGGTGGTGGCCAATTGACTAGGATTTCTTATATGCTAGCTAAGTCTTAATTATCATAAGTCTATATATTTTATAAGACTTATCTTATCGAGGATGCCTTCTGCTAGCATCCTTTTCCTGGGATCACATGGCGACTCTGTAGAGAAGAGAGCAGGAGGAAGAGGAAGCACAAGAGGACTCTTTCCTTCTTGTCCCTGCTTATATTCTGAGTCAGCCTGCTATGTCACTTCCTGCCTGGATCTCTTACTACATTTCCCAGAATCCTCCTTGACTCCCAATCCTACCTATCTTGCTTTCCTATTGGCCAACAGTACTTTATTTATCAACCAATAAGACAAACATATACACAGAAGGACCTCCCCATCACACTTTCATACCTTACTCACAACTTTGCTATCAGAGTCCCCATTATCTCCCCTACATACCCCCTATGAAATTCTTCCTTCCTCCAAGGCATGCAAACTTGTCTCTGATAACTCCATTTTCCTAATCAGTTACCTTATAGAATTCTCATAGAAGGAACAAAGTAACACCTGGGAGGGACTTAGATTGGTGCATAGTACGTGCTGGCAGACAAGCTTAGTATAATGGAGTGTCAATGATTAGTATTATTTTCTTCCATGATAAGCAGCTGTTGATTAGGTAATATGGCTAATTTCAAAGCTAGAATGAATCTAGTTTAGGAAGTAGATAGCAGGATATAAGACAGGAGGAAGTGAATAGGCATTTTAAAAAAAAGACCTGCTCATTTTCCCCTCTATTTGTTTTTAATTTTTGAGATTATAATTTATATTATAATATTTCCCCATCCCTCCTTCCAAACCTTCTTTTATATCCATCCCTGCTGTCCTTCAAATTCATGCCTTCTTTTTCCAAGTAATTGTTATGTGCACATATATTTTTATATGTATATGTATTCTTAAATACAACCTGTTCAGTCTGTATAATGTTACTTGCATGTATGTTTTCAGAGCTAACCATTTTGCATTGGAGAACCAACTGGTGTGATTTACCCTGAGGAAGACCACCTGTCCCAGCTTTCCTAATTGCTATAAGTCCTTTGAGCCTTCATTGGCTTTTCCCATTGAGTCTGGCATGCTCATTGGTATCATCCTTGTTCAGCTCATGTTTAGGCAAGCATGTTGATGAGACTTATCGATGTATCTTCTAACATTACTAGGAGACCATATCACAATAAACTCCCTGATCCTCTCACTGTTAAAAATCTTTCAACGCCCTCTTCTCCAGTACTTCTTGAGCCTTAGGAGTGGGATGTTATACAGCTGTAACCAATGGGACTGAGCTCCACAACTCTGCATTTTGATTGGTTGTGGTTTTCTGTAGTGGCACCTGCATGTAGCAAAGAGAAGTTTCCTTGTTGAGGGGTGAGTGGGCATTAGGGGAAATATTTATAGACTGGGATTGTGCTGGTAATTGGTGGATGAGAAAATACATAAAAATCTAAGGTAAAAATATGTAAGAGGTTCTTCTAAACACACATATCACACAACTCTCCCGAAATAATAACCAGTCATCTATACAGAAACTGCTCTGTGACCGTGCTGTATCAAATGGTCTCACAGTCTTACATACATTATTCACTTAAGCAACTACTCCCTCCACCTTCAAAATAAAGCCCACACTAAAAGCCTGACACACCCTTAAGTCATCACAATTATCTTTCTCCCTGTGAGTGAAGCATCCATGTCCCTCTGTGTCAGAGCTGGGAGGCAACTCAGAAGCCTCATTAGTTACTCCTTTGCCTTCAACCTGTGTGTGTTTGCTTTTGTTGCCCTCTGGGCTTTGTCCTTCCTCCTCATCCCAATCTGCTCATACTCTGCTTCTGCCTCTTCTACTCCTCCACTCACTGTTTTCCTTTGCCATCTTCCAGCAGTCCTTTGCAAGTATAGATTCTGCTTTGTATAGCTGACATTGGTTTTGAACATGCAATATGTACTGTACTTATTTTGTACAGCTAATGGTATACTTATTGGATTATATTTTGTATAGCTAGCATTGTTTTTGAATACATAGTTCATAATCAGTTTCTACCTTGTGTCCTTCTGGAAATAACTCATTAATGTCAGGGATCTGATCTTTTGTTACCATCCTAATCCTGGCATCAGAGCACCGGGTCTGATGAAAACTTCTTAAAACGGACTTAAAGGCTCATTGCAAAGATATTCTTATAGCATACCTATGAGAGCAAAATACTGGGTTTGTATTCCAGTATTCACACAGAATGCACTGTGTGAAATGGCTCTAGAAAAATACTTTAACTGCCATTTCATTTCAGGCAGTGCCCAAAATAGTACCTCAGCCTCCTGAAATCACATGTTGTCTGCCATCAGAACATATGAAACATCATGGAAGAAGATAGTGTGCCTTCTGCTGAATTTAAAATTGTGATTTAAAGACGGAAGCCTTGGGATAAAGAATTTATGAATTATAAATAAATCAGGGAAAAGGGGAATAGCAGAAGATTTTCATATTCTCAAGTGTTTCTGGGGAAAGTGGGGAATTACATATGCACAGAGGAGAGGGATGAACCTTGGAACACATGCTTCAGGCTGTCTGTACCACTATTCGTACCAAAGAGCTTCAGACTTTTGTGGTAAAATCATGCTACTATGAATTAAGGCTTACAGAAAAATCATTGGCCGATAATTGAAAGAGAGAGAGGGAGGAAAAGAGAAATAGAAAGGGACAAAGAGGGGGGAGAGAAAGATAGACTGAGAGAATGAGCGGTGAAGACTAACAGGGTGCAAGTAAGTTTTAGGAGAAATGATCAGAGATAAAAACCAAACAATTTTAAATTCAGTCTATTGTTTGAAATATTTTGCTTCTACTAATTTTTACAGTATAATTTCTCTGGAAAAGATTGACTTGTAGTCCGAGCCAGTCAGGATCATCTGAGGACAGACCTGGATTAAGTGTTCAGTCAAGAAAACCCCAAAAAGCTGAAAAGCCAGAGTCTGGCCCTATTGTCATTAATTTCCAGATATGCTGCCCTTCCTGGAAGACTTTTCTAAAGCTGCAGGTCAACCCTACAGCGAGACACATAACAATCAAGGATCCGAGGTTTTGCCATTTGTTTGGAATTTAACAAAAGCTACTTCAGCCGCTTATCATAACTTCTTCACCTTTTACCAATAACTGCCTTTCTGAAATATAGTCAAACAATAAAATTTTAAAACTACATGAAAGTGTGGAATAGTTTTTTTTTTTTTAAATGTAGTCCATACTTTGCCTTTCCCACCTTTGTGAGTCAACACTATTAATTTACAATTACAACTAGAAATAAAAATAAACACAGCCATGTTCACTTTCACATTTCTTTGGAGCTTCCTCCCCTTGTATGGTTTTTTTTTTCATGTATTTCTTATAGTCACTTTTTAAATAGTTATTAAATTTAAAACAATCTTATTTTACATACCAATCCCAGTTCCCTCTAACTGCTGTCCTGCCATTCCCCCCACCATTTCCCCATCCTACCCTACTATCTACTACCAGAGAGGGTGAGGCTTCTATGGGGGAATCATCAAAGTCTGTCACATCATTTGGGGCAGGACCAAGGTCCTCCCCCCACTGTATCTAAGCTGAGACAGTATCCCTGCATAGGGAATGGGCTCCCAAAAGCCCTTTTAATGCACTGCTTCCACTGCCAGTGACTGAATAGACTGCCCAACACGCCCAGACAGACCCTCATGTTCAGGGGGTCTAGTTTGGTCTTATGCTGGTTCCGAAGCAGTCAGTCTGGAGTCTCTGAGCTCCCACTTGCTCAGGTCAGCTGTTTCTGTGGGTTTCCCCAGCATGATCTTGACCCCTTTTCTTTCATTTTTTCCTAGATTTTTTTAAAATTTAAATTAGAAACAAATCTATTTTACATATCAATCCAAGTTCCCTCTCTCTCCCCTCCTCCCATGCTCCCCACTGACCCCCATCCCATCCCCCTCCTGCTTCCCAGGGAGGGTGAGGCCTTCCATGGGGTATCATCAAAGTCTGTCACATCATTTGGGACAGGGCCTAGGACACCCCCTCCCTGCCCCCCCATATCTAGACTGACAGAGTATCCCTCTATAGGAAATGAGCTCCCAAAGTCCATTTGTACACTAGGGATAAATACCGTTCCACTACCAGAGGCCCCATAGACTGTCCAGGCCTCCTAACTAATACCCACTTCAGGGGGCCTGGTTCAGTCCTGTGCTGACTTCCCAGCTGTCAGTCTGGGGACCATGAGCTTCCCCTTGTTCAGGTCAGTTGTTTCTGTAGTTTTCCTCAGCCTGTGGACCCCTTTTGTAATCACTCCTACAACTGGATTCCACTGGATTCCAGGAGTTCTGCTCAATGCTCAGCTGTGAATCTTTGCTTCTGCTTCCATCAGCTACCAGATGAAGGCACTACAATGGCATTTAAGGCAGTCATCAATCTCATTATAGAGGAAGGGCATTTAAGGTA